GCAGGGAACAACTACAAGCAAACCTGGACAGGTTGGATAAATGAACTGCATTCTGTTGTTTTCTGCCCAACAAGGAGAAATGCAAAGTGCTGCACCTAGGGAGGAAAAATGTCCAGCACACCTACTGCCTAGGAAATGACCTGCTGGGTGGCATGGAAGTGGAAAGGGATCTTGGAGTCCTAGTGGACTCCAAGATGAACATGAGTCGGCAGTGTGATGAAGCCATCAGAAAAGCTAATGGCACTTTATCATGCATCAGCAGATGCATGACGAACAGATCCAAAGAGGTGATATTTCCCCTCTATCGGGTGCTGGTCAGACCGCAGTTGGAGTACTGTGTGCAATTCTGGGCACCGCACTTCAAGAGGGATGCGGATAACCTGGAGAGGGTCCAGAGAAGGGCCACTCGTATGGTTAAGGGCCTACAGACCAAGCCCTACGAGGAGACTAGAGAACCTGGACCTTTTCAGCCTCCGCAAGAGAAGGTTGAGAGGCGACCTTGTGGCTACCTATAAGTTCATCACGGGGGCACAGAAGGGAATTGGTGAGGTTTTATTTACCAAGGCGCCCCTGGGGGTTACAAGAAATAATGGCCACAAGCTAGCAGAGAGCAGATTTAGACTGGATATTAGGAAGAACTTCTTCACAGTTCAAGTGGCCAAGGTCTGGAACGGGCTCCCAAGGGAGGTGGTGCTCTCCCCTACCCTGGGGGTCTTCAAGAGGAGGTTGGATATGCATCTAGCTGGGGTCATCTAGACCCAGCATTCTTTCCTGCCTATGCAGGGGGTCGGACTCGATGATCTATTGAGGTCCCTTCCGACCCTAACATCTATGAATCTATGAATCAAGGGAAATGATTCTTCCACTCTATTCAGCTCAGGTGAAGCCTTATCTGGAGTACTATGTCCAGTTTTAGGCACTGTACTTCAAGAAAGATGTAGACAAATTAGAAAGGGCCCAGTGGATGATAACAACAATGACTGGATGTGTAGGAAAAATACAAGGAAAGGTTGGAAGAACTGTGGTTATTTAGTCTGCAGAAGAGAAAACCAAGAGGTAGATTTCTTAACACTTCAAATACAGGAAAGGTGATTATTATGAGGATGGTGACAGAGATTATTCTCTCATTTAGATTAGATGTTAACAGAAGTGCAACTAGGGTTGGGTGAGCAGGGCACCAGCCCCAGGCACTAATTTAGAGGGGGTGCCAGAATGGCAGCCCCCAGGGAGCCTATGCCACCACCCAGGCTGTGTTCAGGGAACTTGCACTACAGCAGCAACAGCTCACACAGCAGCAACCCCTACTGAAGACGGTGTGCCCCCTGCACCCACCCATTCACGCTCTCTGATATTCAGTAGTCCCTTGCCCCCCAAGACACCAAAATTCCTAGTTACATCTTTGGAATTTGGGAGGTGGTTTGATAAATATTTGGATAAAATAGTTTAGACAGGGATGCTGCTGCCTTGAGCAGGGGGCTGGAGTGGATGACCTCCACAGGTCCCATCCAGTCCACTGAGGCTATGTTTCTAATACATTGATAAGGGAAGAGTTTTGAGGAAAGTAACAGAGAATGAGATGACTGTAAAGTAGCTGAAAATAGCAGTTTTTCAGTTATTGCTTTAAAAATAGAGGCTAGAAGTGAGACTGGAACCAAGAAACTTGGGTACAGTACTAATGAGGCTTTCTTTCTATCTAAAGTTTGTACTGCCTGGCTGCTAAAGAAAAGACAACTGGATATGAGATTGCATAAGTTAGAGAAGTAAATTAGAAACCCGAAGAGATAATGGTATCTCTATGTAAAACTTGGTAAGGTTACACATAGAGATCTTATTACTGCTTTCATATGCCTGTCAGGTATTTTCTTCCTGTAAGAAAGGGACTTGGTCATGGTCATGATTAGAAGATTCAGAAAGTGTTAATTTACATATTAAGAAGGATTTGTTTTCCAAGAGAGCTTCTGAAAAGCTTGACAGTATATGTATTTTAACGGGCAGATACCAAAAATAGGTTTAAGCCAAAAGTGGATTTATGCTTAATACAGTTGGGAAGTGCTTTCTGAAGGACTTTATCCAAGTAGTTATAAAAGGATAATATTCTCAAGTCTTTATTAAAGAAAGTGATGAAGAAACCCGGCCAGAGTAAGCCTTATTCATTACATTGTTTGTGAAGCACAGGCCAGCTTCTGAGCACCAGTTAGAGCAGTAGCTTAAATTTCAGATTGTATTCAGATATGAACTAAGCACAGAGTGTCCCTAGAGTCACAAGTGACACACTGGCCACCTTGAATAGGGGTCTCACTATGCTGTTAGAAATTTTGGGCAGTTTTTAACACTGTGGACCAATGTATTTTCTCCTCAGATTGTATATAAAGGGAGAAGCACAGGATTCCTTCCAGCTGCACCTGGCACCAAAGGGCAATTTGCTAGATCGTTCCTGACTGTCACTGCGTGGCGGGGAAGATTAGGGCAGGATGCTTTTTGTACTTTTTCCTTTCTCTTACTGAAGTGGTTCATAAGCAGAGAGAAATTGTTGACTGAAGTAAGGCAGAAAGGCAAGGCAGGGCAGGGCAGAGCTGTACCTCATAGACCATCATTTCTCAGCCAGGGTGCCTTGGCACACAGTGGTGGACCTGTACCCCACTTTGATTCCTGCTCCACTCAAAGTTTAAACCCCAGCATGTCAGGCCCCTGTCCTGACCCTGCAGGTGCCCAAGTGCTGACAGTGGCAGCAGCATTTCTAGTCAGGCAGTGCTGAGACAATTCAATTGACTTTATAGTTCATTGTAATCTACCCTATCCCTTCTAACCTCTTCATTTCACAGATGTTAATGACCCTCTCTTCTTTTTAATGGTCTTGATGTTCCACCAATCAAGCTAGCCTTTGTTCTGCAATTCTGCAGTCTGTTAGCTGCTCCTGGTACTGAAACTCCTATTTCTCAACCCTACAGACTGTTTTTAACTCATTCCAATGAAGTTGTTGTTTTTTTTAACTTCCATTTTAAACTGAATTATCCAGCGGTAGGCCACTAGCGTGTTAGTAACGTGTCTAGTTTATTTTTAACTGGAGAAACATCTGCATTGTGTTATATGATGATGCACCTCACTGTCTGACCCCCCCTTTTCAAAATCAAAGATCTGTCCACGGCTGCACCTCAGAGCAGCAATTATCAACCAGTGTGTGGTAGCACCTGGGGATGCCTTAAGATTCTTTCATGAGTGCTGCACAAAGTTAGCACTGATAGGTAGGAACATGTGCCAAATGTAAACAGTGCAACAAAGAGGTGCAAGGTTAACACTACTGTTTAGTAAGTTAGTAGTAAATGGGCACCATGTTTTGATTAAATAAAGTTTCCGTATTCAAAACATTCAAGTTCTGTTTAGTAAATTTGAAGTGCTGGTTTTGCGTGTTTAATTAAATTCAAGTTGCCATCTTATTGCAGCTGCATGCAAAAATGAGCAAAAATTAATAATTTAATAAAAAGAATGTCACCATTTTACAGCATACTAAGAGGCAGGATTTCTAACAAACCAAATATTTTAATATTACTTTTTATAGATTCAAATATATAAAACATTTGGATTGTGAAGTCCTATGTTATGCCTCAGACCGCACTAAATCTGTGGAACGTAAAACGATGTTGAACCCACTGCGAGCGAACAAAAAAAGTGAGAACACGCCATGAAGCCACATTAGGAGAACTGCAGTCAGCTCTGGCCTCCCCCCTGCAGAAAGGATGTGAGCAAATTGGAGAGTCCAGCAGAGGGCAACAAAACTGGTTTGGGGGCTGGGGGACATGACTTCTGAAGAGAGGCTGAGGAAACTGGGAAAAAGAAGACTGAGGGATTTTTAATAACAGCCTTCAACTACTGAAGCGGGATCCAAAGAGGACAGAGCTACCGTTCTCAGTGGCGGCAGATGGCAGAACAAGGAGCAGTGGTCTCAAGTTGCAGCAAGGGAGGCTTAGGCTGGATATTTGGAAAAAGTCTCTCACTAGGAGGGAGGTGAAGCACTGGACCAGGTTCCCCAGAGAGATGGTGGAGTCTCCATCCTCGGAAGTTTGTAAGACCCAGCTTGACAAAGCCCTGGCTGGGATGATCTAGTTGGGGCTGGTCCTGCCTTGAGTATGGTGGGACCAGATATCCTCCTGAAGTCCCTTCCATCCCTCATTTTCTTCGAGTCTGATTTATTAAGAAAAGCCCGTGCCCAGCGGGCGCGATCTCCTATAACTCCAGGGCTGGTGAAGGGGAGGCGGCGCACAAACCCCCCCCCCCCCCCCCCCCGCCACAAGGGCTCAGTACGCAGGCGCGGGGCCCTCCCAGCAGCCCTCGGGACCCCAAAGGAGGGGGTTCCTCACCCAGCAACGCGCGTTTCATTCCCCCCGCGCGCCGGACCGGGCTGCTCCGCGCATGCGCCAGCTGGGCCCTGCGCATGCGCGCCTGGTACCTGTGAAAACGCCGGGCAGCCAGAGCGCCCGGCAACCTGGAGGCGGAGGTGTGCCGCGGCCCAGCCCGGCGAGGAGCGGAGCGGAGAGACGTGGAGGGACTGGCCCCGGACCACGCGCAGAGTCGCCGAGCAGGTGCGGCTGCAGAGCCGGGGTAAACGCGGCGGGGCCGGCGTGGCGTGTGCGGTTGCTATGGGAACAGGCCGCCCGGCTCCGCTCGCTGGCTTCAGAGCAGTCCCCCCCCCAC